AACACAGGTTTTCTTCATTTTTATATATATTTACATCTAAAAAGACGTTGTACAACTATTTTTTTCTCTCTCATCTTATCTTTGGTTCAGTCGTCACACGCAAAGTGGATCAAGTCTGTGTGGTTTTATTGTTGAGCTATGATACACGAACGAATAAATAAAAAGTTAAAGTCTAAAAAAAAAAAAAACTTTATATATGTTATTTTCTGTCTCTTGTCTATCGTTATACATGAGATCTCCTATGTTTTTTAATTTTTGCTGTCATTGACCTTGAGATCGGTTGTGAGTACTAGTCATCTGTACTGCAGTACAATACCTGCTTGTAACACACACACACACATGATCAGCTGTCTTTTTTGTTGTTTTGATTGAACCTCATCTCCCTACTTCTCGTATGTTGCCACTCTTCGTGTCTGACTACACACTGTGGGGAGATGAGCGGTGATGGAATCATGTAAGTTCTTTATCCCCAATGATGAAGTGTACTCACTTACCAAGTTCACGCTTTTCAACCATTGGGTCAATAGCTAGGCAGATTTTTGTTGGGTATCTACTAAAGGTATGAAAAAAAAAAAAAAAAAAAAAAAAAGTGTGAAGCAGAAATTTATAGAGCCATGTATGTACCTCTACTTTTGTAAATTATTAACATATTTGAATCGAATAAGAACTTTAGAGTATATATATACTCGAAATTTTAGATTCCGTTTGGGAAAATATATATATATATATATTTTGAGGGGGGGGAAATTAATTCGAATCAAATCTTGAAAAAAAAAAAAAAATTGATTGATTGATTGATTGAAATCCACCCTGTTCGTATCAAGGTGATTTGTCAACGAGAGCAGATGAACAACTTTGTTAGTTCTCTGATTGTTCTCGTTTTTTCACCCAGAGCCAGCACATGAGCCTTCCGTTTATGCAAAGTAACTTTCTTTTCTTTTTTCTCAATGCACCATGCGCTGAAAGGTGTGTACTGTATGCCTGTGTATCACTGCACAGTTCACAATCGTACTGATGTTCATGAGCTGATATCATGATGAACATGGATCAGTGACTTGTATTGAATGGACATGAGTAAGGGTGGGCTTGAGCCCTTGGGCCAACTGGATTTGAGAGGGATTCTGAGGTGATTTCAAACATGACACTGTGTGCTCTCATTGACGAGTCCACCTTCATATGGACAGGGGGAGAGTGCTCGATTTTTTTTTTTTTTTTTTAAATTTTTTTTTATGGAGTCAAAGTATATAAACTTTATCAAAATCATACATACCTGACATTTGAGAAAGTTTGTTATTAAATCTGTTTTCAAAATAATGATGGTGATGCTTTTGCATAATATATATATATAGATATAGATATAGATATATAGATATATAGATATATAGATATAGATATTATGGTAATATACTTGTTGATTCTATTTATTTAATAAAATTTCATTCAATTTTCATAAAAAAAAAAAAAAAAAACGATTCAGTAAACTTTAGCAGTAAGTACCTTACTTCACTTTCTTGTGTTGGACAAGGCAAGAACTCAACTTTTTTTTTTTTTTTTTTTTTTTTTTTTTTTTCACAATTCCTTTATATATATATATATATATATTATTATATACTCAAAAACAAACACATGGGCCCAAGTACACTTCTCTGACCACCCAAAGTGCTTCCCATACCCCTTAAACCTCTTGTTCCAAAACTACATTATTATTATTTATTTATTTCCCCCCCCTTAAAACCTTCTGAATCTCATCACCATTATTTTTTAAGCCTGAGTAGGAGGGGAGTAAAAGCTCTATGATTGAATGAGCATCTCACTTGCATGCATGGTGCCCAAATCATGATATGCAAGATGTGAGGAGGTTGCGGAGGCCAATAGGTGTTTGGAGAAGCCCATGTATGGTCTGTGATACACATGCAGAAGTCACAGGATGCCTGCAAGAATACAAGATGTAATCCTCTCTCTCTCTCTCTCTCATTTCACTACAGAGGAAAGTTTCAATCCCCTCCCTGCTATAGAGCAAGGGAATCAACTTGATTCTGCTCCATGGTACAGGAGGAAGAGAGGAAGAGGGAGTGAGCCTTTCCCTCCACACTGGAGGGAAGGGATGGACCAAGTCTTCTCCATCTACTACTGTACAGGGAGGGGATTGGACTTGATTCCCTCCCTCTACATACCCTGCCCCATTGGGAGTGATGTTCACATGTGACATGGTGGGAGATGATGGAGCCTTCTCCCAAAACTGGAGGGAGAGGGCTTGAGCCCTCCAGCTTACTATATGTGAGGAAGAATGCCCTCTCCCTGCTGTAAGAGGGAGGAACATCAATCACACCCTCCCTCTACAGTAGGGGGAGTGCTGATTGGTCTCCCTACTGTAAAGGGAGGTGTGTATTGACCAGTGACTGAGGAATCTCAGAAGAAGAAAACACAGAATATCCTAGAGAGATATTCAGACTGTTGAGGTTTATTTTAGTGATGCTTCAGAGAGGGGAAAGTGTCCAGGGGGGTCTGGTCCTCCTTTTATACTCTGAGCCTTTACTTTTCCTTCTCTATGAGCATATTTACTCAGTAGAAGGTAGACTTAACTTGGTATATGTAGATCTCTTGGTGGTATTATATTATTACCATTATATTTTATAGCTATGGGTTACAACAGGTTGTCTGATGTATAGTGCTTGAAACTGAGCAATGAATTGTTTACACTTATAATTATATTACATTTACATTCCTGTAGTACTTGTTGAGTACTCAGGGACTGACATGCTTGAAGTGGCCAGTTTGACAACTTGAGTGCAACAATACAAAATTGAGGGGCTGTGAAGTTTCAGAGGTTTATGATCATTGAAAGTTTTGGTCAGTTTGGCAAGATTGTGATTTTGTGGTGATTGGTTTAAGAGAGGTTTTTGTACTGCTGTAGCAGTTTTTTTGGTGCACTGTTTTTTCTTTTCTTTTCTTTTTTTTTTTGGCACTAATTGGTTCTCTTAGACATTTTTTAGGCAGACAGGTTGGCTGTAGCTCCAAAAAAAGGTACACTTTTTTTTTTAAACACATTTGTGCATGATTTTTTTTTTTTTTTTTTTTCCCAAAGTGATCACTCATGCCTGTCATACTTCAAAAATAGGGAGACTCCTCTAGATACTATAAACACAGTGTCCACAGAAAATGCGCCTGACGTGGGGAGCGTACACATTTCCGCAGAAACTCACTTTTTTTTTCCCTTTTCCCCAAATTTTCGCCCGCCAGACATGCTCACCAGTATCTAAGTGAGCACCTCTCAGTGTTGGTAACTGTGCTACATAGTGCACAGTATGTAGCTGATCTCATCAGCCAGCCTGCTCAACCCCAGTTGAAACTCTTCACCATCTCTTGCGCTGTGGATAACTGAGGATGCGTTTACTAACGTTCTGTATTGAGTTTCATGCTCTTGAAACTCTCGATCATTCGTACGTTCCACTTGACTGGTCTTCTGCATCAGCGTTGTACCGGGCCGATTGACGGACTTTTGAAACTTGTTTTTTTTTTTTTTTTTCAATAATCATTAAGAACGTCAAAAATGTACAGAGTGGCCTTAAGAAGAATCCTAGGTGTCTAAAGCACAGGAATCATCTAGTTGTTTGGCTGCTAACACCAGTGAAGCGCCATTCGGTTGCCTAACGATTGCACTCACAGTGTCCACAGAAAATGCGCCCGACGTCTAGCGCTGACAAATTCCCTGTGTGACACAAAGGGGTTTTGTCAGCGCTAGACGTCGGGCGCATTTTCTGTGGACACTGTGACTGTTCATGTTGCTATTGCCCTATTTGGCGAGACTGACTTGAAGGGAAAAAAAAAAAAAAAAAAACTCCTTCTCACTCAAAAACCGCCAAGCCCCTTGTTATCTTTGTTGACTTCATAAATACAAACTTCACTGTGTTAGAAATGGCCTCTTGCACTATATGCATGTCAGTAGTTGTTTGCATTATACCCGCAGATTGGGTTTTGCATTGAACAGCCGAGGCAGACAAAACGATCTAGGAACCATACATTTGACAAGGGTTTTTTCAAGCTGCCTTGAGGTCTATTTAAATGTCTAAGTCGTTTGTTTTTTGAAAGCGATACGCGTTGAGAGTGATACGCGTCGAGAGCGATACGTGTCGAGAGCGATATATGTTGAGAGCGATACGCGTTGAGAGCGATACGCGTTGAGAGCGATATGCATTGAGAGCAATACGCGTTGAGATCAATACGCGTTGAGATCAATACGCGTTGAGATCAATACACATTGGAAAGGACAATACGCGTTAAAGTTGATACACATTGGAAAGGATGATGGGCGGTGTAAGGGGGTTTGATGCTTCCAATGCAAACCCCCTTCATGCTGGTGCATTCAGCTTGACTGAGTGTGTCTCCTCAGTCAAGCTGAATAGTTGAGATCTGTTCAACATGTCAGCTTGTGCCTCTTCACAAGCAGAGGGCTGGGCCTGATCCCTCAGTGATGCATACTCTGGGGACAAAGCTGGGTTAAAAAAGAGTTTTTTTTTGCTGGAGAAATTTAGAAAGAAGTACGCTCCCTACGTCGGGCGCATTTTCTGTGGACACTGTGAAAGCAGCTAGCAACCAAATTCTTCAAGATTCAACTGGTTTAGAAGAAATTTTGATCTAGTGGTGTTCCTCTACTAGAACTTAGCAGGGAAAGCCAGATTGGGCAGGTATGGGGGCATCTGCAGCTGTTGCACTCCAACCCTTCATTACATCAAATTTGATGTAATGGGACCACAGTGCCCAATTAGGGCTTCGCTAACTAGTAATTCATCAAATTTGATAAGAGCCTAGTGATCCTCTGGTGATTTGCACACCACACACACCCTTGACCCCCCTCATATGCACCTTTGACCTCACTCAGATATACCCTTGACCACCTCTACCACTCTACTTCCTCAAACCCACTTCACTGTGTATCACTCACTCACTCCACCCTCAATCTCAGCTCACTCCAGCATTGATTGCTGTGAGATGATAAAGATTGACCAGACCAGGATTAGAACCTGGGACCTCAGCATGCAAGCTAAGACACAATGCTAGATGTGCTGCCTTTGACCACTAGGCTATCTGGTCAATTTCATTGTGATGGCTGATGTGTAGGAGGAAGCCAACAACCCTTGTGATATGGTCTCAATCACAATTGGAGACAACAGAAACCATGTAAGAGTAAGGGTAAGTCC